GAGAAATGTTATGTTCAGGTTATTCAATATAGGTAACATATATATCTAGCATTTCAAATTAGTAGTAATACTTTGTGTGATTCCTTAGTTTTCAAAGTACTTTTCAATATAACATCTCATTTTTTTCTACCTCCAGCTCCATAAGGAAGGAGGGCATATGTTTTCTCACTTTCACTAGATGAAACTAGGAACCAGGGCTACTGTGCAGTAGACCTGGGACTTAAAGACTAGATCTTCTGACTCTAACTAACCATGCTAATTTTCTAATTTTTAAAGAATCAAAATAAAGGAACATATAACATTGAAACAATATTGAATGAAATTTATTCTCCTTGGAGGATTCAAAACTCATTTTAGATTGTATATGGAATTATATTTGTAAAGTAGTCATCTCCATAGCATTCAGTGCAGAGAAGATGATTAGTCGAGCTGTCTGGTTAACCCAAGTCCATCTCTATTCTAGCGCACTTTTACAAATCTGGAATTTTATCACTTCAAGGAAATCATGGTCCCTAGAATTGGTATACACTTAAACTTAATTTGGTATCCATAACTGGTATCCACTTTGTCCTTTATGGTTACATATCATATCTGAGCTCTTCTTCCCTGATTATAAAATAGAAATTATATACATATATAAACACACTCTCACACTGGACAGCAAGGATTAAATGAGATACTCCTGTAAAGAATTAGTATTGTGCCTTCCAACACACAGTAGCTACAAGGGAGAATTTAAAAAACGAAAACAAAAAACAGTTGACATCTTCACCAGAACACTAAAAAAATAAATAAATAAATTGTTGGACAAAACAAAGCAAAAACATCATCAACCTTGCACTTTAAAAAATTCAATTTTGGGTTTCTATGGTTATAAAAGTAATTCACGCTTATCAGACAAAGACAATGAAAATCACCCATAAAGCCACCACACAGTGATAATCACTGCTAATATTGGTGTATACCCCTTTAAAATTTCTCTCTCTCTCTCTCTCTCACACACACACACACATGCACGCGCGCGCACGCACAGGCAAGTTTTGTGTGCATGTTTTAAACAAATGAGATCAATTAACTCAATTCTGTATTCCCTGAATGGAAAAATCTAGACCCTCTAGTAGAAATAAACAAACAGAAATAAAGCCCTAAACTCCTCAAATTATACAGTACATAAGAAAGGCTATTTTATAATCAGTTTTTAATTTAATATACCACAGTATTATTCTACTGTGATAGAGAGATAATCATCATTTCTAGTATCTAATATTTTACTGCATATTCACTTCTAGTCTCTTCTGGGCTAAGCTGCTCTTCTTTCCAGGTAAACACCACTACTATAATTTATTCAGTCACATTATGCTCAGCTTTTCCTTTTGTAAACAATGGCATGAGCATATATCCTTGCTTACTTGGAGGGCATAACACGCACACTGAAAATTTTGCCAACCTGTCTTCTGGAAAAATTTTACCAATGTACATCCTATTGCTGATACTTTATATTCCCATCACCTTGCCTATCTAGGTTTGGTTTGAAATTAAACTCTGCTTTTACTACCCTTAATAGTTTTATGATCAATAGGCCAAAATTTTTTTAAAAGGGAGGTATCTGTCTCACATTAAGAAATTATTTGAGGAAAACAAAATAAAATACAACTTAAAAAAAAAAAAAAACTGTGGGTGGCCACCCCCAGGATTGGAATACTCAGAAATTTCCATTCAGCTGGGAGCTGGGTTTTTCATCATTCTGCTCATTCCTCCTCACCATTTGTTTTGTTTGCCACGTGTTATTTTTCACTCATCATCTGTGGTGAGAAGGGTAATGAGGGAATGTGCAACCATAAAGATGATGTTGCTTCCAACAAAGCACTCCTGAGACTGATTCATGACTTGGTACCAGCTTCCCTTGGATGCACCACTGCACCAAGTTATACTGAGTGCATATTTCACAAAAATGAAAAAACAAGTTTCAAATGTTTTACCCCCAACATGATAATTAAACTATTTGCTCTGACTTCTATGATCATCAGCAAACTTTCATAATTATCAGTAGCCATGATTTAATATAATAAAAATCTCAGATTATTTCAACTGAACACACCAAATGTGACAAAGAAGCAAAACACTCCCATGGCAGAAGAAGAGTTTCTTAAACATGGTACATTCCTTCTTCTTAATGATTACTCCTTACTTCTGATTAAGTAAGCCTCTTAATCAGAAGCTTAGTCAGCTTTAGATGTACTTTATATCTGAGATAGAGTAGATTCTTTACATTAATGAGGTAAAATTCACCTTATGTTTTCTTTAACCAGTCAGAATAGCCCAATGTATTACTAATAATAGAAGGTATGAAGTGACAGGAAAAAAGTTTGGGTAATGTTTTCCTTTTTGAACCATTATCTAGAGATGCTTCAAGTGTCCACAGAAAGATCTACGAATCCAACAATCAAAAGATTACAATTTAGCTTTATATTTATAAAATACTGCATTACTTCAGACCAAGTTGCTAGTTTAGACCAGTTCAGACTTAGGGAAAAAAAGAAAGGCGCCACCCCTTGAGCTGCAGCATCAATGTCTGCACTGCATGAATGACTACTTGGGAGCCTCGCGATCCAGTTACCCATGACACTAGACTCATTTCTGTTCTGACCTTCAGGTCATCTACTGAACAGATACTATTACTATAGCAGTCCCTTGGCATCTTCGGGGCATTGGTTGCAGAAGCCCACCACAGACAGCCAAAATTAAAGGATGCTCCAGGCCCTTATGTAAACTGGCACAGGATCTGCACACAACCTACACACACCCTGCTGTACACTTTGAATATCTCTATATTACCTGCAATACCTAATAAAACGTAGTACATGCTATGGAAACAGGTGCCAGTGCTGAAAATTCAAATTCTGCTTTTTGGAACTTTCTGCAATTTTTTCCTAGTTGAATCCACAGATGCAGAAATCACAGATACACAGGGTCAACTGTATTTAGAATACAGGTATTAACTGATGCCAGTCAGCTATACTGGACCGTGGTGAAGAATGGAAAGAAACTAAGCCCTTGCTCTCAATTCTAGCTGAAGAAACAGACCACACACAAGTATAAATTTAACAAATAAGATAATTTCAGGTAGTGAAAAGTCTTGCAAAGACAGTAAAATGGGGCTGTATTAGTCTGTGACTTGGTGGTGAAAAGAAAGCTTCATTAGATGGGATAATCAAGAAAGGCTTGTCTCAGGTGGCGATATCTGAGCTGGACTTTGAATAAGGTAAGGTCAGTCATGCAACAGTCTGGGAGAACAATGTTTTAGGTAGGTGAAATAGCAAAAGTGAAAGAAAGAGTTTGGGGTGTTTGACAGAAAGAAGGAGGGCGAGCATGGCCAGAACACAGTGACTAAGGGGGAGAATGAGAAATGAGGCAGAGGCCTGGTTATATAGGGCCTCAGAAGTCTTGGCAGTGTCTGAATTTGATTCTAGGAATAGTAGAAAGCCATTAAAGGGCTGACACAAGAGTGATATTACCTGATTTAAGTTTTTTAAACAATCTCTGGTAGCTCTGTAGCACATGGACTGCAACAGAAAGATCAACAGAACTGATCAATGGAAAGAGTCCATGCAAGAGAAGCTAAAGGTTTGGGCAAGGGTGGTGAAGGGGACCAAGATGAATGGTCAGATTTCAGAGTATGTTCAGAGGTTAAATGACATGACTTGCTGAAGAACTAAATGTGGTTGCTGGGTAGTGAGGGCAAAACCGGGAAACCAAGGATTACTCCTATGCGGGGACTTGAGCAACCAGAGGGACTGTGTAGCTGTTAGCTGATGTGAGGGTACTAGGGGAGGAACAGATTTGGAGCAGGGAGTGGAGGCAATCAAAGTTCTGTTTTGGGCCTGTCTAGTACTGGAAATCTACTAGTGATATAAGATGGGGTACAGACTGCATACAGATGGGATATAAAGCCCATCGGACAGAATGAGATTACTTGGAGAAAAACTACAGCTAGAGCCCTGGGACACACCAATACTGGTCAAGTGAGAAGAGGAAGAGGAGCCAGCAGAAGAGCTGAGAAGGAGCACGCAGAATGGCAGGAGGATATTCAGGAGAGTGTGGGGTACAGAAACTGAGAGAAGAAAGTTCTGAGAAGGAAGGAGTATGATAAATGCTGCTGAAGTCTGAACACGATAAAGAAAGAAGGGACTTTCCTGGCAGTCCAGTGATTAAGAGTCTGGGCTTCCACTGCAGCGGATGCAGGTTCAATACCTGGTCAGGGAACTAAGATCCCACATGCCATGAGCCACGGCCAAACAAACAAACAAACAAAAAAACAAAGAAAAGAAAACTCACAACTGGATTTAAAGCTAGAAGTATTAATAAAGAAAAAAGGTAGGAATATATGTTATAAAAAAAGGCATTTGATCGGGATCAAGCTATCACTTTTAGAGCTAAAAAAACAAAAGGAGCCATCTCAGCAAAACCCCTGAGGTTATGTTGATTTACCGTGATTAGCACATTTTGACTGTCCCTCTCAAAGGGAGAGCAGGGAAACAATGACCCAGGAGGGTGTCCGTCTGGAGTTTTCCATTCTTATTTCCTGGAGAGGGGAGGCACCTGTGGCACCACTCTCCCAGTGTGGTGGAATTCAGAATTTATATGGAAAGAGGAACAGCTCAGCTCAAAAGAGACTACAGGTCTCTTGCCCCATTTGACTGTGATTCATCAAAGTTCTGACAGTCTCCTGTCCAAACCAATTCCAGCTAAAAGTTTCTTTAACCCAAGGGCCCAACTGAAAGGAAAAAACTGTCAACAGGAGAAGACCATACCCATGCCCTCCGCTGGGGGCATTCTTCTGGCCTACATTTTCTTTCCCAAGGTTGCTACTGTTTCACTATCAGACTCCAGCCTGCATCTTACTCTGATGGTGGATCACTGAGGACAAAACTAAAAAAAGTGATGTGAGGCCTGGCCACACCTGTGCCACCTGTCTCTCCTCCTCACTCCCCGCCCCTTACCTGGGTCATTTTGTCCACAGAGACTGGAATTCCATCGATAGTGAGAGGCGGCAGCTCTGAGTTAACCTCCTGTGGCGCAGGGGCGTGCTCTGCCAGGGCGGACTCCAGGTCTTCCAGGATCATGCTCTTGTACTTACGCACCTGCAGGGAATTAAGGGCAGAAGTAAACAAGATGCCCAACAACCAGGGAGGATTGGTGCCAAGCAACCAGAGAGTGGGTAGGGCTGGACTCCCTCAGCCACTGCAGAGCCCTAAGAACAAACATGTCTACAACTAGTGGATAAAAATACCCACTGGCCCCAAAGACATCACATCGTACAGAATTAAATGAAATGATGATGAAATTACAGGTAACAATGGGAGAAACAAGCCAGAGGAAAGAGTTTTCTAGAAATACAGCTCCTCAGTTAAAATCACATTTTCTCAGTAAATGCTGGCCCCATTACCTGTTCCAGATCTAACAGGAATGGTATTCATATTTTGCATTTCCCAGGCCATTTGATAAAACCCAGTTGTGGCAGTTAATTACCAAAACCATTTCCAAGATCACTGAGGATTTATGTCTCTAAAACTCTAAGCACCCTCTTTGAAACTTTCCTATGCCGCTCTTTTCCTAAAAACCTAGACTACCAACAGGAGATCAACTATACAAGAGGCTGAACTAAAAGGCATCAGAGAACAAAAACAAGAAGTGTATACTGGGTATCACAGTGTAGCTGGGTGTGACAGGTGCCACTATCGGTAAGGCCCGGGGCCAGAGAGAGCACCACTGGTCAAGTACTCTTCCTTTCCCTCAGGGACTCCCTGGTGATAGAGGTGAACTTTAAACCCATGAGGCCTCTGTAACTCTGACAAGGCCATGTCTGAGACAGATACTGTTGCTCTGACTCCATTCCTTCCACTATCAGTGAAAGTCTCTCAAAAAACAGAACTTAACAGCAGCAAGTTGCACATGTACACATTATTCTATAGAATGTAGAGAAAACAATGGATTCTACCACTACCAATAATGGGTTCACTTAGTTACAAGAAATACACCAGGGGGGATGAGGATACTTTAGGGATAATAAGGGAAGCCATGGAGTTATAAAAATGTAACACGATGGGACAGAAAATTAACTTGCTTTCAGGGCTCAGGCCATCATCATAGAAAAAAAGGTAAGAAAATATGAAGTTTACCCAGAAGTTATAACAATGTTATAGTCCTGGACTGAACTCTTAGTCACCATATACTTCCTTATAAATATCTCATTATAAAGATTAGGAGAGAAAAATCCCCATACTCCACCTCAAACATATGGAAAAATAAAAATTATTGGCTATGATGTATAACTTTTATAGAAATTTCCAACAGATCAACAATAAAGGTGATGAAAGAAAAACAGTACAAAGTTATCATTATTACTCTAGAAATTCAGTTTTATCCTGGTTTCTAAAGAGAAAGTTTCAAAAATTATTGCCAATGTATTTACTGTAAATAGCTGTGTTGCCATGACATCTTTAAGGATATATATTTTCTGATTTCTAGGTTTCTACATCATAAGTAGAGTTTTTACACTACCAACCCACAGGAAAACTGAGTAAGCCTAGGTTATAGTCTTTGAACTTTAATGTATCAGGTTAAACCATTATATCAGTATATATGCCCATAGTAAGAGTAAATGAAAATAGTATAAAAAACTTCCATTGTGCAGAAACATCTGCATTTAAAGACAGAAAATTAGTTTATTACTATTATTACATTAATAGCTAGTTTAAACAATTTGAGACATTTTTATGGGTCAGTAAAATTCCAGAAATTCAGATCCAGGCATTTTGCTAAACTTATCCATTATATCTTGATTTAAAAAAAAAAAATTGCTGGGAGAACATCCTTCAGAGTAATTTACAACTTCAGGTTGTGACCACAGTATTTCTAAGTTTGCTTAGTAAAGTTAACTAACTTTCCCAGAGTTATAAAGCTAGCACTTCAATTCTATCTAATTTATAAATCCTGAGATAATCCCTCCCCTACCCCCAACCATTTACCACTCCTCTGAAACTCGGATACTTCTTAAAATCGCTATAGACAAAGTGGTATGGGACACAGCAGTCAAGGCCTGCACATCTGTGAAAATGGTTGTTATCCCTAGAGGCACAACTACAACCCCCAGGCCTTTTCAATCAGCAAACCACTTAGCACCATTTCAGAAAGGAATGTGAACCTTGGCTGTTGTCTGATAACTTCCCCAGTGATCTTTCTGGTAAGACCAAAAAGCACCAGCATCAAACTTATCACAGCTGAGAAAAAGTCTCAGAGACAATAGCAGAGCTCTTTTTACAGAAATGCAGCATTACCCATGCTCCTGATGGTAGGGAAGACAATATATTACATGCAACCATACAGACAATGATGACTCTGAAACAGGAAGTAATTCGGAATTGGACTCTGAATGTGAAAAAGTTTTAGGAATAGCTAAAAAACAATTTCAGAAATAGGAAATTTGTTTCACTTACATTTTCCTTTTTACATATTTACAAAAGCAGTATGATCAAAAGCTGTCTCTAAGTAAGCCTGAAAAAGCTCTTTCAATAAGTATAAAATAAAAATTCTAAGTGATATAAGCGCTGTGTCAAAGTTTATCAGTGTTTTTTCTTTCTTTGTGGCACATAAATAATGGTGCATCTATAACTCATGGTATCACAGATATGATGAAATACAGGTTTGTTTCAGAAACTTCCACTTTCTATTCCAAAATCCACAGGTAAAGCCTTTGTCATTTCATACCAACATGTCACTGCCAACTAATTGGTTTCACAATTCAAGTTAAAAACCACTTAAAAATAAATTCAGTTGATCTGCCTACCACGCTCTCCTCCTCCAATTCATTCTCTATACTGCTGCCATTTAAAATTTCTGAAAGATTGACATAATCAAATTCCATTTATTGAATACGCGCGCTGTGTCAAGCACTGCAAACATTATTCAGTTAATTCTCACATAGTTTTATAAAGAAACTATCATTATATACATTTTGCAGATAAGAAAACTCGGGCTTAAGTAACATTCCCAAATCATATAGGAATATAGCAGAAAGTCAAATTAATTTTTAAGTAGCTCCAAAGCCTATATGTTCAGCCACTTCTGATCATTTTTCTTTTTTCTCAAAAATAGTCCTACAGTGCCCCACTTCTTACAGGACTGCATTTCAACCATTCTGATCATTCCTTGCTTTCCCAATACTCTTGGCCACGGCCACCAACTACAGCTGTGCATGCTCAGCCCTGTAGATTACGTAAACAAGCACCATCTTGAGTTTCCTGTGTATAAGCCAGCGTCCTACTAGGCAACTTTGCTCACCATCCTTCCTCTTGAGCCGGCCAGCCTCCTCACTAACTTTTGCACACAGCAAGCTCTTTTCTATCTCTGTGGAGAAGAAAGCATTCTTGCCTGGAGAATTCCCACAGACAGAGGAGCCTGGCATGTTTCAGTACACGGGGTCACAGAGAGTTGGACACGACTGAGCGACTAACACACTTTCCCTCTCTGGGTCTTTAATTTTGTTTCTAATTTAAATACTATACATTATTCAAGACCCAACTCAATTCCCACTTTCTCTGAGAAAACTTCCCAAGTGTTCTTGCCCTAATTCTTTTACTCTTTTAAATGCCAACAGACTCAAATAATCGTGTGTCACTTATGTTGTTCTATGTTGCACACAACTAGTGTTATGACATCACTGAGCACAGGAACCAGACAGTTTATTTTTTCGACATACATTATGAAACATTTCACATATTCAGACATGTACAGATAATACATTAACAAACATTCTCATAATTACCAGCGACAAAGTGTTTAGGGTATTTATAGTAGACTTTAGAGTTCTGGGCACAGAATGAGCTTGTTGAGGATTTAGGAATTGGTTGCTACAACCATAAGGTCAATGAACCTTTAGTGAGGTTGCAAAACTAATCCCAGATAAAATATCAAAATCCTTCTGTATACTTGCTTTTCTGGATAAAAGAAAAGTCTTCAGGAAGGTCTCCAAAAATATTTTTTGAATTATTTTTTACCTATGAGCTCCTCTGTGATTAAAAATACACTGTCATCTGACGAAGATAACAAAGAGATGCCCAAGAGCAGGGCTGCCTTCAGATCAGGGATCCTGAAGCACACCTGGCACAGAGCCAGCCACAGGCTGTTGAATCTGCTGGCTTCATCCTCTTCTCTCTCCAGACCCAGTGTCAGCCTCTTTCCTCTCCTGCCTCAGTCCAGATTTTTCCCCCAACCCCCGTGGATCCCTTGTTTTGAACCTTGAAACCTCAAAAGACCTGAATGGAATTCTTACCTCATACTTTATATCTAACAGTCTTAGCCATTTGTTGTATAACTTAATAAACAAGCAACACGGTTTTACTTTATTACTTTTTTATATTATTATTATTGCCTGTGTCATGTGGCATATGGGATCTTAGTTCCCCAACCAAGGATCTAACCCACGCCTTCTGCATTGGGAGCTCGGATTCTTAACCACTGGACCATCAGGGAAGTCCCTTACTTCATTACTTTTTAAATATGCTTCCACATTTCAAGTAACCTGAAGCCATCTTTAAAAAACTTATCTAAATAAGTGAATGACTTAGAACAAGAAATCATGACCAACTCCAGAGTCCACTAATCTACTGGGAAGGTGGAATTAAATGAAGGAAGAAGGATGATTTCAAGGAAGCTGTGACAAACCCTGAGCTATGTCTTGCTTCTATGACTGTGATTCCTAGGCCTATTCCTATAAAGCTCATTTCAATCCCTTTCATGCCAGTTCTTCATAAAGACTACATATAGGAGAAAGATAATAAACTTTAATTTCTATTTCTCCCCAGTGAGGTTGCTATTATCTTTATTTCACACATGAGGACACTGAGCCACATAAAGGAAAAATCAGTGTGGGAAATCATTCACAAAATCAAAGCTTAAACACAGTTTTCACCAAAGCAAAGTTTTTAGCTATGTACATTAACACCAATCTATGTGCATGATTCAATTAACCTGTCTAAAACTTACATTCCAATTGTGGGCAAGGAAGTAATATGGACAGAACACAATATGGAGAAATAAATGAAAAGCTGGAAAACATAAGAAAAGCTTCAACACCACCTATTGGAGGGCCCAGTAAATTTTTCAATTCTCCTTTGACAAATTTGTAAAAAACTGATAATCTTGAGTCTGAAATCCATATTCCAAAGATGAACAGCCCTATGGAATTTTAATCTTCCAGAGTTCCTAGCAGCCTCCAGAAAAAAGAGCAAGAAGAAAGGTTAATGATGGCTTCAGGCAGGAGGACAAAATGCAAATACCAGAGTTTTAATATTATTTAATGAGATAATACATGAAAAGTGCTTATTACTTATAACCTAGAACACAGCATTCAATAAATGTTAGACATTGTTATAAAATCCAAACAATTTCTTTTACTGTTACTAATATGAGATTATGCAGAATACACTGTATAAATGATTACAGTGAATATGAGCTCTGATTCTTTAATACCACCCTGTATACAAGTATATATATAAGATTAAGGAATATTCTATACTTTGAAGGTTTAACGGAAGTCACTCGAAATAATCAGGAGTATAGTATCCATTTGAGAGATATGGTTTAATTACTTTTTCAATTTTGTGTTTATTGTCTTACTGGTTTGGATATATTTTGGTTATTTTCTTATTAAATTATCCACTTGGTTGAGGTCTTTAATTTACAGAATAGAATTAATGCATAGAATTTCCTTACAATGTTCAATCTATTTTTTATCTGCAACTATAATTCATGTCACTTCTAAGACTGTGTATTTGTTTTCTTCATCCTTTTTCTCAATTAGTATGCTAGTTTATCTATTTCATTAGATTTTTCATAGTATCATTTCTTGAATGTAACAATTCTCTGTTTACAAAATCATTAATTTCTTCTACATGTTTACTTACTGTATATCTTTCTTGGATGAAATTTCTTTCTTTCTCATACATATATAGAAAAAAAAATCAAGGCAATAAACATCCTTTTAAGCATCAGTTTAGATCATAATTTTTAAGGCTATTTAAAATTTGTTTTTAAATAGTTTGCAGATTAAGTTGTTTTCTCAAGTGTTTTTGTATACATATAAGTGATTTGCTTTGCTGCATAGCAGAAACTAACCAAGCATTGTAAAACAACTACAATAAAAAGTACTTTTAAATTTCCATGTGGCTGAAAATTTGTCAATCTTTTTTATATTAATTTCTAAATTTTCTATTCTTTAATATAAAATATGACCTGTGTAATTTTCTTTTTTTTTTTTTTTTTGTAATTTTCTACCTTTTACAATTTATTAAGATTTTCTTTGGGACCTAATAAAAACACATGGTCAATTCTTATAATCCATTCATGTAATTTTTCAAATATGGTATATTCTCCCTTAGTATGGTATCAATGTTAATATATCTACCTTTTATATTAACCTTATTAATTCTATTCTTCAGATTTCTATATTCTTATTTATATTTTTCTTCCTTGAGTGACAAAAATATTTCAGACTCCTACTACCACTGTGGTTTCTATTTTTTTTAATCTCATTTCTAATTTTTGATCTATATTCTTTAATGTTGAGACATAAAAGGCTCGTTATAAATTTATACTGCTTATCAATACTAAAAGACCTGTGGTCCTCAGTTAATATTCATTTGTCTTGAGAATTTGGCTTTGTCTCCTATTAATGCTTCCTTGGTAGCTCAGAGGTTAATCTGCCTCCAATGTGGGAGACCCAGGTTCGATCCCTGGGCTGGGAAGATCCCCTGGAGAAGGAAATGGCAACCCACTCCAGTATTCTTGCCTGGAGAATCCCATGGACGGAGGAGCCTGGTAGGCCACAATCCACGGGGTCGCAAAGAGTCGGACACGACTGAGCGACTTCACTTCACTTCATATTAATGGTGTGATCCATGATTTATTTTTGTAGGGATTTGTCTTACACTTGCTTTGCTTATTGTTTTGCTTTTAAAATTTTAACAGCTTTATTGAAATATAATTCATATGCCATATATATTAGCTTCCTATGGTTGCCACAAAGTATTACCAACTTGGCGGCCTCTATCAATAGAAATTCATTCTCTTAGTTTCATAGGCCCAAGTTGTTGGCAGGGCTGGATGTTCTGGAAGCTCTAGGGGAGAATCCATTTTCTCATCCTGCCTAGCTGCTGTTGAACACATACTGCTTTGCTTCTGACCCGTTCCTTGCACCCCACCTCTTGCTTCCACTGACACATCGCCACCTTCTATATCAATCTCCTTTTGGCTCCCTCTTACATAAAGACACTGTGACTAGATTTAGGGCCTACCTGGATAATCCAGAGTGATGTCCCCATCTCAAAAATCTTTAACTTAACCACACCTGCAAAATCCTTTAAGCCATATAAAGATTTGGATCTGTGTATCTTTGGGGGCCATTCATTATTCAGCCTATCATACATACCATACAATTCACCCATTTGAAGTGTACAATCTACTATTTTAAATATTTGTAGGGTCACATAAGCATCATCATAATCTATCTTCCCTGAAAGAAACTCCAAACCCACTAGCTGTCACTTTCCATTCCTCCATCCCTACCTTTCAAATCTGGCAACCACTAACCTACTTTCTGTCTCTACCGATTTGACTACTCCAGATACTGCCCATAAGTGAAATCACACAATATGTGGCCTTTTATGAATGGATTCTTTCACTCAGCACAATGCTTTCAAGGTTTGTCCATGTTGTAACATTTATAAGCACTTCATTCCTTTTCAATGCTGAGTAATACTACACTGGATGGATAATACAACTTTTTTAATCCATTCATCAGCAGATGAACATTCGGGTTATTTCCATTTTGTGGCTATTATAAATAATGCCTACTATGAACATTGTACATTTGTTTTTATATATGTAAGTTTTGTTGCTATGAACATTGTGTGTATAAGCTTTATTCTCAGTTCTCTTGGATAAATGTAGGAATAGAATTGTTGGGTCATATAGTAACTGTTCTTTTGATATTTTGAGAAATTACCAAATTGTTTTCCAAATCAGCTGCATCATTTTACATCTCTAACTGCAATGTAGTTCCAATTTCTCTACATCTCCATCAACATTTATTATTGTCCATCTTTTAAATTATATTCATTGTAGTGGGCATGAAGTATCTCTTTGTAGTTCTGATTTTCATTTCCCTAATGATTAATGGTTATTTATCAAGTGCTCATTTGTTTGCTGGTCATTTCTATATTTTCTTTGGAAAAATATTTATTCAGATTCTTTGCCATTTTAAATTTTGTTAATCGTCTTTTTTTTTTTGGCCACGTTGTGCGGCTTGCTGGGTCTTCATTCCCTGACCAGAGACTGAACCTATGCCTGCTGCAGAAGCACTAAGTCCCCTCCACTGAAAACCAGGGCATTCCTGGGTTAACTGTCTTGTCACTGCTGAGTTATAAGGGTTACTTATATATATTCTGAGTACAAATTTGTATCAGATATGTTTTGCCAATATTTTTTTCTTTCCCATTCTGTAGACTGTTTTCTCACTTTCTTGATGGTATCATTTGCAGCTACTTTGAACACTTGTGAGTCACTGTAAGTATGTCATATAAATTGAACAGAACTGGGTTTTTATTTGGACTGTTTCTGCTCCAATCTAAAATAAAATCTTTAACAATAATATAAATATAATATTTATATTATAGTTTATAACAAAATTTACTGGTCTCACTTCCATTACTTTGTTAGTCAGGTATCATTTTGAACTAGAAAGCCATCTACCACACTCCTCTCAGGAAAGGTCTTAATATGCATCCTATTCTAGGGACTCAGGAATCTGAGGAAAAACTCAAAAACAAACTCAAAAATGTTAAGAAAGAATGACAACATCTGTGTATGGGGAAAAAAAATACAATAAACAAAATCTCAACTGATTACTAATTCTGAACATGTGAAGTATCTATGCTCAATATGGGAGAAAATCTAATAAATTCATTTTAAGCTCAGAAATTTTATCCTAGTAAAAATAAAATGCAATTTAATTCTGGACAGATCATTATTCTACTAATGATTCAAAGTTACTTCATCCAAAGAAAGAACAGTTCACATAGTAAAAGTATCCAAGAGTGAAACACTATTTTTATGAAGTTAGCTATAAATAGGGATATAATCAAAATATTCAACTATATTTCAACATTGAAGGATTAAATCAATTATTTGAATAAATAAAAACAATTTAAAATGTGTAATTCAGATATCAGTGATCAGTAAAATGCTCCCAGGTTTGCCTTAGGAAGTTCACATCTTGAGAAAATAGCATTTTGTTTCAGCAATTTTCTTATAAAATCTTGCATTGGTTTCTTAAGGAATTCAACATCAATTTTTTCCATTGCATCTGATGAGGTAAAATAGCTTGTTATGAAAAGGAGAAACAGAAATGATCCATTTTACTTTGATCTGCATAAAGGAGTTTGAAAACCAGTCTGAATTCCCACCCCTGGAAGAAGGGAAGATAAAATAACTATAGTGCTAGACAAAGGGTCAAAAGAATGCAAACAACTCACAGAAAGCAAAGGGTGCCAGGGAACACACAGTTTTCTTACCACATTCTCCAAAGGAGCTGCACCGAACACTTTAAAGACAGGGTTGGGTTTGGAGGGAGAGATACAAAGGACAATAGCTTGTTGTCCTACTCGAGTAGTATATTCATCTAGTGTGGCTCGAAGTTTCCTGAATCAGAGAACAAAAAGACAGAAATTACGTGACACAGACACAAGATTTCCTTTGACTTGAGACAACTTATTCTAATTTGGTATGTCTTCCTCTACCTGAATTGTGAAAAGGGTGTGTGTGAGGTTTAATATCCTGTTCAGCAGAATATGTACATCCCTTTGTCCTAAAGACCCGTGACTAGCTCACTGACATAAGAGTCTACACCACGTTTACCTCAGGACACAGCCATGACACAACGTTGAATACAGAGAGTATCATACTTCCTGATCTCAGGACCAAAAGTGTGCTGCTTATAATAATAAAGATTAATGCTGAGATGTCCTCCTATAGACTTTACTATATCATCTCCATGCTTACTGAAGGGGCCTAAAATGAACTGTTTCTGATTTCTTTGACTGATATGATTACTGTTTATGTCTTGCTCCGATGCTCAGTCACGTCCGACTCTTTGCGACCCTATGGACTATAGCCTGCCAGGCTCCTCAGTCCACGGGATTCTCTCAGCAAGAAAACTGGAGTGGGGTGCCATTTCCTCCTTCAGGCAATCTCCCTGACCCAGGGATAGAAACTGCATCTCTTGCGTCTCCTGCATTAGCAGGCTGATTCTTTACCACTAAGCCACCTGGGAAGCCTGTTTATATCTTACCGATATAGTACTTCAAAAATGTTGTCATTTCCAGATTTTCATTGTGATATAAACAATAATTCTTAGTCCTGAAGTATTTTACAAATGAGGATGGAGTAAAAGAGCTTTTTCAAATCCATCTGTTTCTGGATGAAACAGAAACATTGTCCTTTCCTTCTGGAAATTATGAGAGATTATTTTAAAGTTCTACATCCCATAATTCTTCTGAGAACACAGTCTACCGTGTCAAGGGACTGGTGAGTCATGCCAATTCAAATGAAGCAAAGCCAACAAATCACAAGAAAGTTTTCCATCTTTCTCCAAAAGCACTGTGTCTATGCCCCTTTTAGAAAAGATGGCTCTATAAATGATATATTCAATTCCTTCTGCCTATACTATCATTAAAGATAGTAAGATTTATCATTAAAGGAAAGGAAATTTTTTTGCCTATCTAGTGGTATATAATCTCTGTGCTGAAAACTACCATTAAGTATTTTCTGGATTTTCCCTTCAGTTTCTTATGATCTTATCTTCTTAATATAGACTATATTTTCTAACTTTTGTCCACATATCATTTACAAGTGCTGGCACTCCATTTGGATTCAACATTCCAATAAACATCTTAACAATTTGGATATATAAAATACTACAAGAAGAAACTTCTGAAACATTTTATAGACTAAATTTTTTATTATACATGAATGCATGTTGGTCAGCCTGTCAAAATATGAAGTCCTCCATGTACCACAGATGTGCAATAATCTTTCTTTGCAACCTACAAACTCTTCAGAAGAAATAAAAACAAGTGAAAGAAGTGGAGGTGAAGTCACTCAGTTATGTCCGACTCTTTGTGACCACATGGACTGTAGCCTATCAGGCTCCTCCATCCATGGGATATTCCAGGCAAGAGAACTGAAGTGGATTTCCATTTCCTTCTCCAGGGGATCTTCCCAACCCAGGGATCAAACCCAAGTCTCCCGCATTGCAGGCAGATGCTTTACCATCTGAGCCACCAGGGAGGCCAAGTAAAGGACCACATACCAAACAAGAAATCCAGTGGCATTCCTTGAAGGAATGATAAGAAAATACATTCACTGTCTCCAATTCCTCTCTTCCCATTCTCTCTTGAAGACCCTTCAATCCTTTCATCCTTACTGCTCCTCTGAAAACACTTTATCAAGTTCAATCATGACCTCCACATTGCTAAATCTAATGGTCAATTTGCATCTTAGTCAACCTGTCAGCACCATCTGATAGTGCTGGTCACAAGTCCTCCTTCTTGAAACAATTTTTGTACTTGGTTTCTCGGACACCATTCTTCTGGTTTCCTCCTCACTCACTGGTCACTTCTTAGACTCTTTGATAATTCCTTTCCTTTCTTTAATCCCTAAGGGGTAAAGTGCTTCAGTCCACACTCATTCCCTGCTGCTGCCGCCAAGTCACTTCAGTCGTGTCTGACTCTGTGCGACCCCATAGATGGCAGCCCACCAGGCTGCTCCGTCCATGGGATTCTCCAGGCAAGAGTACTGGAGCGGGCTGCCATTGCCTTCTCCGACACTCACTCCCTAGTCTGCTTCGAATGCTGCCTATGTGCTTATATCTTCAGCCTTGCTTTCATTCCTGTACCCTCAGAGTCTATTCTTAACACAGTAGTCTGAGTGATACTTTAAAAACATAAGTCAGATTACATCACTGTTTTAATCAAAAGTCTTCATTGACTTCATGACACTCACAGTAAGAGTCAAAGCCCTTAGACTGGACCAGAAGATGCCATGGCATGGCTTTCCACTACTATTAATATTAAGAGCACACCTCTTCTCATTCTTTCTCTAGTTGTTCCTCAAACATGTCTAAGACATGCGTTCCCACTTCAGAACCTTTGCTTTTACTACCCCTCAGCCCCAAAAGTTCTTCCTGTAGATATCAACATGGTTTCCCTTACAATTACTTCAGGTCTCTGTTCAAAGGTTGCCTTAACAAAGATCATTTCTATTAAAAAAGAGAAACTACCATTTTCCTCCTAATCCTCTAACCTTTCTATTTTCCTTATTTTGCTTTGTTTTTTTCACTTTTCATCATCTGATGTATCATATATTTATTTTCTTATTCCCTCCATTAGAATATAAGCTCTTTAGTTTATTTTGTTAGCTGTTAGGTTCCCAAGGCCCAGAACAATACCTGGCACATAGCCAGCATATATTAATAAATTTTCTCTGAATGAAATACTATGATTCTATACATCTGTACAGAGAAGTTAGGGCTTCCCTGGTGGCTCAATGGTAAAGAATTCATCTTTCAATGCAGGAGACGTGGGTTTGATTCCAGGGTTGGGAAGATACCCTAGAGAAGGAACTGGCAACCTACTCCAGTATTCCTGCCTAAGGAAATCCCATGGACTAAGGAGCCTGGTGGGCTGCAGTTCACAGAGTCACTAAAGAGGCTAATATGACCCAGCAACTAAACAACATACATCTGTTAATCACAGTTCTAGTCTCAGTTATTTTTGTTAAGAGTACTTTAAAGTCTAATTCTGTTATCAAAGAATTTAACTTGGTATCCCTTGATGAAGGGATTCCCTGGTAGCTCAGCTGGTGAAGAATCTGCCTGCAATGCAGGAAACCGGGTTTGATTTCTGGGTCGGGAAGATTCCCTGGAGAAGGGGTAGGCTATCCTCTCCAGTATTCTTGGGCTTCCCCAGTGGCTGAGATGGTAAAGAATCCACCTGCAATGCAAGAGACCTGGGTTTGATCCCAGGTTGGGAAGATCCCCTGGAGGAGGACATGGCAACCCACTCCAGTGTTCTTGCCTGGAGAATCCCCATGGACAGAGGAGCCTGGTGGGCTACAGTCCATGGGGTCGCAAAATCAGACATGACTGAGTGACTAAGCACAGCACAGCACATCCCTTGATGAACCTAATAAGGTATATTCTGTCATCCATACCATAAAGTATTTGAGGAACAGCAACAACATGGATAAGGAAGCCCTCACCTAAGCAAACGTGTTTGCTGTCTCTTCCGGATAGATGGATTAGATTCAAACACATGAGGACGTTTCCGTTTCTTTCCTGTTGCCACAGCAGCAGCAGCTGCCATTCCCACAGGACCTGAAACAATAACATATGTGCTGAGACCAGAGTCTGTTAACTGCACCATGCAGAAAACAATTAGATGTACAAAAAAGGAGCATTTATTTCCTAGTATGTTATCAATAAGTATAGAATATTACTGATACCATCAATATACTTCACTGTTCAACATGGATCATATTTTAATTTACCATTAAAACTTACAATGAATCTTTTAAAAAAGTTAATGACTTACACCTCCCCACCACATACTAGTTTGAATTTCATATAGTATTTTTTGTTTTGTTTTATTAGCATATCCCTACTTTTAAGGCAATATTCTCAAAGGTGCTAGATGAAATAGCACCATTAAGAAGAAGAGCCTGCTAAGACAAAAAAAGTTACAGATTTCAAATTTCATTTCCATTCCTGTGCCCCTCTTTCCGTTACAAGGCACTGACAAGTTAGAAAGTCAGAGATAATCACTCATATTTGGAACCCCAACCCTACCACCACCACCACATATAAGAGGAATATCTAGAAGAATACCATCTTATTTCCACTTACTAAAAGTGGAAAATTTTTTCTTGTATATCTGAGAATTATGCCCTAAATGGAACTGTTAACCACAAGGTCATGTTGATGAAAGCATCCCGGAAGGAAAGTAATAAAAACTGTCCCACTCTAAGGGGAAAATGTTAATAAAATTTGGTCTGGTTTGCCCTGAAGCTAATGACTAAAACAAACCGTAGGCCTTAAGGAATTATTAGTCTCTGATTCACCCAATCTCAACATATCAATGGCATTCCTTTTATTTTTTAAAACAGACAATCCATCTTTATTTGTGAACCCCCTAGAAGGTTTAAATGAAAATTAGGTTTAAGTGCTCACATTTATCCTGGCATATATGTTCTATAAATGGCTCAATTACAATAGGCCTCCCTGAAAATCTAGATGAGCCTCTACATGTTATTTAGTTGTATACTCAGTCTGACTTAAATAAAACCTCTCTAAAGAGCCCCCAAATAAGCAAGAAACAAGGTAATGCCTTTTACCTTCCTTTCCACTATAAACAGCTGGTAGAAGAAAAAATATTACTGATGCCTGTTTTTCTAACATTTAATTTTTTAAATTGTGGTAATGATACAACATATGAGATCCACCATCTCAACAAACTTTAAGTGTACAATATAGTACTGTTAACTATAGACACAATGTTGTATTCTAGAACTATTCATCTTAACTGAAGATGACTGAAACTTTATCTTTAATGGCAACTCCCCACTTCTACACCCCAGCCCCTGGCAAACACCATTCTACTGTATGCAGAGTAGAATAGGAGTTTGAATATGATACTTCATATAAGTAAATCGTGCAGTACCTGTCCTTTTGACCTGTATATGTTACTTAACATAATGCCCTCAAGGTTCATCCATGTTGTCATATATGGTAGGGTTTTCTTCTTTTTTTAAACAAAAAGCTAAATAATATTCCATACATACATACCACATTTTCTTTATCTATTCATCCGGAGAAGGGAATGGCAACCCACTCCAATGTTCTTGCCTGGAGAATTCCATGGACAGGGGAGCCTGGCGGGCTACAGTCCATGGGGTCACAAAGAGTCAGACACGACTGAGTAACTAACACACATTCATCTGTCAATGGAAATTTAGATTGTTTCCACATCTTGACTACTATGAATAATGCTTCAGTGAACACAGCGGTGCCAATACCTCCATGAGATCCTGACGTCAATTCTTTTGAATAAACATCCATAGAAAGAACTGGATCATATGGTAATTGTATCTTTAATTTTGGGGGAGGACTTTCATACTGTTTCCCATAGGGGCTGTATCATTTCACATTCCTACCAACAACATAGAAGGGTTCCTATTTCTCCACATCCATGCCAATACTTATTTTTTGATTTTCTGCTAACAGCCATCTTAACAGGCGTGAGGCAATATCTCACTGTGGTTTTGATTTGCATTTCCCTGATGATTAGTGATGCTGAGCATCTTTTCATATACTTACTGGCCATCTGTGTGCCTTCTTTAGGAAGATGTCTACTCAAGTCCTTTGTCCATTTTTTAATCAGGTTGCCATTATGTTACTGAGTTGTGTGAGTCCAACATTTTTTATTATTATTATATTAGAAGTTTCAAATATATATTTTTAAAAACTTTAAAATATATAGCAAAGTTGAAAGAATTTCATAGTGAACATTCACCTATCTACCACTTAGATTCTACTATTAATATTTTACTATATGTATCTATCCACCTTCTTACCCATTCATCAACACATATTGGGTATTTTTAAATGTATTTCAAAGTAAACTACAGTATGATCCCACTATATACTTCAGTAGAAGTATCATTAGCTAGAGTTCAATATTTTTAAGTTTTTTCTTTAGAGATAAAATCTACATATAGCAAAATGTACAAATCATTCAATAAATTTGAAAAATCCATACAACTATGAAACCCAAACCCCTACTAAGATATATAGTATCATCACTACAAATGTTTCTCTCCTGTACCCTCCCATCAGTTCTTCCCTGTACTTCCCACCATAAGGACACAATTCTTATTTGTTTCACCCTACATTAGTTTTGCCTATTCTAGCACGTCAAAATAAATGGAATCATACAGTATATGCTCTTTTGTGCAAGGTTTCTTTCACTTATAACAGTGTTTTTAAGATCCATCCATGTTACTATATATATATATATAAATCTCAGTAGACTGTTCCTTTTTATTGCTGAGCAATACTCCAAAGTATGAACAGACCACAGTTTATTCTGAGAGACACTTTGGCAAGTTCCAGTTTTAGGCATCATGAATAAAGCTGCTTAATTAAATTAATTAATGCAATTTAAATAAAAATCCCACTTTTGGTATGGAACTTGAAAAACTGAACTTTATTTATTTATTTTAAATTTTATTTTAGTTCAGTTCAGTCACTCAGTCATGTCTGACTCTTTGTGACCCCATGGACTGCAGCATGCCAAGCCTCCCTGTCCATCACCAACTCCCGGAGTTTGCTGAAACTCATGTCCATATTTATATATAAATAAATAATATTATTTGTTCTAAATTTTATTTATTTTTAAATACCTTTTTATATGCAATGTCTATTCTGAAATATTTAACTTAATAAATCCTATCAAGAACCTATTCCCTTTTTCCTAGGAAATAAACCCTATTTATTTATTTATCTGGCAGCACCAGGTCTTGGTTGCAGCACATTCGATCCTTGTTGTGGTGGCATGCAAACTCTTAGTTGTAGCATGTAGGATCTAGTTCTCTGACCAGACCCAATCCGGGTCCCCAGGATTGGGAGGGCAGAGCTTTAGCCTCTGGACCAACAGGGAAGACCTGGTTCTAAATTTTAAATGGAAATGCAAAGAGCTAAAAACAGCCAAAACAATTTCTGAAGATTTTAAAAAGGCGGCTGGGGCACTCATCCTACCAAGTACCAATAGTTACTATAAGGCTACAATCCTTTATGACAGTGTAGAACGGACTGAAAAGATAGACAAATAAACCAACATAACTTACTCGAGAGTTCACAAACACCCTGCTGTGTCAAAAGACAAAGGTGGGAAAAGGATGGATGATTAAAGATCTGGAGTCGGAGTAACTGACTGTCTGAATGCAAAAATAATGAAAGTAGATCCATACATCATACTATACAAGAAAATAAATTCCAGGTAGCTTAAAGGCTTAAATGTAAAACAAAAACATCAATAAAATAACAATAAACTATGTAACTTCTACAATAAACTACTGGAAAGTATTTACAAACACAGGGTTAAGAAGAATTGCTTAAACAAAACTCCAAAAGTTTAAAACTGCACAATGATATAAATCCAAACCTCTATGAACAAAAAGAAATAATAAAAAATTGGGAAGGGAGTGGACAACTAGGAGAAGAAGATAACTACAATACATATTTACCAAGAAAAGATTAGTGCTAAAAAAAAAAAATAAGTAACTCTTAAAAAAATTGGAAAAATGGACAAAGGAAAATATGCAAAATAAGAATAGCCAATAAAGTTCTGAGATAACACTCTATCTTATTTTCCTGCACTGGCTGGAACCTCTTGCTCAAACAAGCAAATTAAACCAACACTGAGATACTATTTCATACCCATCAGACTGGCAAAAATAAAAACAATTGACAATACCAAATGTGGCGAGCATGAGAAGCAATAGGCACTCGAGTACACTGCTGGTGGGAATGCAAACAAATAAAACTATTTGGAAAGACATTTGGGATACCTAGTAAAGTTGAAAATGTGCCTATCTTTGCCCTCCTGAGTATACCCTCAAGCAGCGTTTTTCAAACTATGAGTAGTTTTTTTGTTTGTTTTAATAACGTGGAATAAAGTGAAAGATACCAGAACATATCAAAGACTGTGCTACTTACAGTAGAAGTTAAGTATCACTTCCTGAGAAATTGTTATTTCAGTTATATGTGCATCTTTATTCTAGATCACAATGTATTACTGTGGCACACTGTCAAAAGGAGCTTGAAAACCAAAGCCAAGAGCTCTCACAATATGTACAAGAAAACATACAAAATAATTTCTATTTGTAGCAACTGTAAATAGTAAAAGATTATAGACAACCTAAGTGTTCTCCCAATATATGACACATTCAGATAAAGAATGGATACTAAATAACAGTTAAAATGAAAATTATCTAGCCATATTATCAACATACATAAATCTCAGAAAAATAATACTGAATGAAATAAACACTTTTAGACAAACAATATCAGAGTGATACCATTTATATATAATTTAAAACATACAAGTGAAAGTGAAGGTCACTCAGTCGTGTCTGACTCTGCGACCCCACGGACCATACATTCCATGGAATTCTCAAGGCCAGAACACTGGAGTGGGTAGCCTTTCCCTCCTCCAGGGGAATCTTCCCGACCCAGGGATCGAACCCAGGTCTCCCACATTGCAGGCGGATTCTTTACCAGCTGAGCCACAAGGGAAGCCAAAATATGCAAAAACAATGCTAAATATTGTTTACTGATAGATACACACCAAAAAAATATGAAAGAAATTCAAGAGAATGATGACGACCAAATTCAGAATAGTGGTTACTTCAGCAGAGGGAGAGAATGAAATAGGATTAGAAAAAGAGGATAACCAGCTACCCTTCCCTCTCCATTTAAAGTAAAGTTCATTATATTCCTCAGAGAACTCAGTGCGTTCGAAATTATTTAACTTGGTTATATGTACCCTTCTTCCTATCACTGGTCTGTAAGGTCCTTTAGGAGCAAGTTCTTGCCTGTCTTGTTTCTAGTGTCTATATATACTAATATAAAGTATATAATAATTCCTCAGTAACTGTTGAATGATTAAATCATTTATATCAGCTGGGCCTCAGTTTCCACATCTGCCACATAAGAGGGTTAGATTAAAATTCTTTGCTAATCTTAACACTATGACAATGCAGCACTGTACTATAGCAAAACTATGTCTCAAAAACACCTTCCTTCCTAGGAAAGAAGTTGACTTGGATTCATTATGTTAGGATGCCCTCTTCTGGGAAGTATAATAATTTCAAAATATATTTCACAAACATTTTATATGTATTTTGCCACTAAATCTTAAATTTTTAAATTCACTATTTCAGAAAAATACAGTGGATAACGACAGCGTAAGTTTATTTTCATTGCAGCTGTCTTCTTTCACTTAAATACAGCATATACTTTTTTTAAAAAATGTAGTACTTTGGCTATTTCTAATCATTGATTTCCTGTCCATTTTTCCTAAGTATCTTCAAAATCAGTGTTCCTTATACAATATTAGATCCATCCAGAAAGGATCTACATGGAGCTTTCCACACAGCATTAAATATACAGTGTAAGATCATGGCATCCAGTCCCATCACTTCACGGCAAATAGATGGGGAAACAGTGGAAACAGTGGCTGACTTTATTTTTCTGGGCTCCAAAATCACTGCAGAAGGTGACTGAAGCCATGAAATTAAAAGACGCTTACTCCTTGGAAGGAAAGTTATGACCAACCTAGAAGGCATATTAAAAAGCAGAGACATTACTTTGCCAACGGCCTGTCTAGTCAAGGCTATGGTTTTTCCAGTGGTCATGTATGGATGTGAGAGTTGGACTATAAAGAAAGCTGAGCACAGAAGAATTGATGCTTTTGAACTGTGGTGTTGGAGAAGACTCTTGACAGTCCCTTGGACTGCAAGGAGATCCAACCAGTGCATCCTCCAGGAGATCAGTCCTGGGTGTTCTTTGGAAGGACTGATGTTGAAGCTAAACTCCAATACTTTGGCCACCTGATGCAAAGAGCTGACTCACTAGAAAAGACCCTGATGCTGGGAAAGATTGAAGGCAGAAGGAGAAGGGGACGACAGAGGATGAGATGTTTGTATGGCATCACTGACTCAATGGACATGGGTTTGAGTGGACTCCAGGAGTTGGTGATGGACAGGGAGGCTTGGCATGCTACGGTTCATGGAGTCACAAAGAGTCAGACAGGACTGAGTGACTGAACTGAACTGAAATAGTAAAGAGAATGATACAAAATATCACCCAGCTTTAAGTCATTTAGGGGCCCAGAAAATCTCAAAACCTTAAACTGGATTAAGATGATCCAGGATTGCTAGTGCCCAGGCACCAGTAGAAGCAAACAAAAATCCTCTCTAGATGACAATAATATTATTCTAGATTCCAAATTATTCTAATAATCTTCTAAACACACACACATCCAGCATTCAACCAAATAGGACCAGAACATGAAGAGAAAAACCAACATAAAGCCAGCTGGATATAAGAGGGAAAGTTAATATTAAGTATGTATGAAACAAAAGTAATAGCACAAGTATATATAACTTCTAAACTAATAAGAAAAAAATGAAAAAAAAAAACAAAAAAACTTTGCAATCACTCCAAAAAAAAAATCAAAAGGAAAGTAAACAGGACAAGCAGGACAATGAGAAAGCATACAGTAAACATGATAAATTTAAACCCCAGTGTATCAGTGATTGTATGTGTGATGTATTGTATCAGCAATGTATCAGTGATGTATCAGTGATTACATTTACTGTAAATGGACTAAATGAGTTAAAAGTAGGTCTTCCTTGGTGGCTAAGATGGTAAAGAATCTGCCTCCAATGCAAGAGACCCAGGTTGGATCCCTGGGTGGGGGAGATCCCCTGGAGAAGGAAATGAAAACCCATTCTAGTATTCTCGCTGGGAAATCCCATGGACAGAGGAGCCCAATGGGCTACAGTCCAAGGGGTCGCAAAGAGTCGAATATGACCGAGCCATTTAGTTAGAAGTAAAGAGTACTGGAATGGATGAAAAAGCAAAACCAAAGCTCATGTCACTAACAGTATATGCAACTAGAACCTAAGTCTCAGTGTAATTCAGGTACAAGTTGAAAATGCAAAGCTTTAAAAAAAATCATGAAGACATGATATGAAGATATCTGAGTGCCTGTATCCTTGGCTCTTTCAGATAAGCACAGTACTAGAGTTAAGCCAAAAATGAAGATATTCCAATCCAAACATTACCTGCAGCAGCCAGATGGGCTGTTACCTCATCAGCCGCTGTGGAGTTCAGTATGTCTGAATCATCATATGAGGTGTCCTCAGGAGAGGAAGGTGAGTCTTCATCAGCACTCAGCATACTGTGTTCGGTGTAGGTGGCCACATGGACCTGCTGAACTTGCTGGGCCACTGCATGAGCTTCTATGGTAGCCATGTGTTCAGTTTGGGTCACTCCGTGTTCCTCCATGAAGATCCACTATTGGAAGAAAAGGTAAAGAACAGGATTCAGCGTGTAATACAGGTCAATGCTTAAACTAAGAAATACTTTCCTCAAGGGAAGAGGAACTTCAACAAGCCTTTCATTTTACTATATACCTCACCACATCAAGTCATAGGAAATGGGCAGCATCATTACCATATGACATAAACATGGCAGAATATTTTTCTTGCATGAAACTATTCTGAAGGAAATCCACTGTGCTAGTTTTATATTTAAAGTCACAAAACAATAATATCTTTGGTATTATCCATAATGATAAAAAAGATATTTAAAAGGTCCTGGTGACTTGCATTTGACACTGTGGACATAAAAACGGTAAGTAAAATACTTAAACAGCTCCTTTGTATTTCAAACACATATAGGAGTTAAACATTTTTTTACCAAACTGTGATTATTCAAATTGGTTTTTCTGCTTATAAAACTGTGTTTCTTATATACCCTGAAATGACACAGTAACAGGACTAAGGTTTGCTCTCCTACAGACAGCACTTATGCTCTGTTCCCTCTTTCCCCTGCCCTAACATACAGAGAAGTACACTATCCTTAACAATTTTTTGAAGCATACATACATATGTATGATTTAAAATAAAAATAGGTTCACAATACATGTATTATTCTGTGACAAGATATCTGGACATTTTGACATGTCAAAATATACAGATCCACAGACCTTTCTATATAGCTGAAGAATACTTCACTGTATTGATGTGCCATAATTATGCAACCAATCACCTACTGATATATAGGAAAGTGAAAGCATTAGTTACTCAGTTGTATCTGGCTCTTGGCGACCCCATGGACTGTAGCCCGCCAGGCTCCTCTGTCCATGGGATTCTGCAGGCATGAACACTGGAGTGGATTGCCATTTCCTTCTCCAGGGGATCTTCCTGACTCAGGGATCGAGTCCAGGTCTCCCAGGCACATTCTTTACTGACTGAGCCACCTGGGAAGCAGGTATATATAGCAGATATATAGGTATATATAGCAGATATATAGGTAGGCAGCTTCCATATTTTTGCTACTATAAACATCAGTGAACATCCTTTTATATCAAACTATGCATATCAGTTTCTCAAAAAACTTTTAGAAGAATTACCATATGATCCAGCATTTCCACACTTCTGGGTACTATATAAGCTGGGAGAACTGAAAGGAGGGTCTGAAAGGGCTTTTTGTACACTGATGTTCACAGCAGCATTATTCACAATGGCCAAAAGGTGGAAGCAACTAACTATCCACCAACAGATGAATGGGTAACAAAATGTGGACAGACCTCCAATGAAAAATAAATTTATAAAACTAATTAAAAAATAAAATGAATTTGAACCTTAAAAAACAGTGGACACACAAACAATGGAATGTTAAGTCTTAAAAAGGGAGAAATGCAAACTATGAATAGAGGGGATCTTTCTCAACTTGATTAAAAAAAAAAATCTACAGCTAACATCATACTTAATGGTGAGAAACTAGATAGAATTTTGAAGATTTGAGATACCCCCAGATTCATACATATCTAAAAATGCAATTTAATGCACCATTTAAGTCACGCAATTAAACATAATATATGAAAGGAAGATACCATTAAAATACAATTTTTCTATCCATTTCACTGTTCTAGTCTGAGACAAACTGCCTAGGGCATTTTAGAATTCTGGGTACTTCAAAATTGTTTTTAAATGATTTGGGATTAGATGGCATCTAAATCCTTTTCAAAAGGATTTGTATGCTATGCACTTGGCATAATGGATTTCAGTTCTTTTCTCCAGAACAGCAGTTCACAGAATAAATCAATAGGGATGTCTGTTTCACAGGCTTGTCACTCCTACCCAGAGCCTCATCTCTTTCTAGGTCTTTCCCCACACCATCCTTCAGCCTCACTAACCTGTCTGCTGACACTCTGTAAAAAGCAAAGGCAAGGCCATTTCAGACTTCTTTGAACCAGAGTGGGATACTTGTAAAGGATGCTTTAAATGGTTTCATAATTTAATAAGCAAAACAGGTTGTCTAAAGCCAGATATGACTGGCATACACATACTGCAGGCGATTGTCATACCCCATCCCACTTAAGTCATTTTGAGTGAGGCATTCTAGCTTTCATCCTCAAAAAGTCAGATTCTCTGGAGAGCAGAAAGGGGAACTTCTAATAGATAAAAACATTAGATAATATGAAAATTTAAAAATAGCACAGGCTATTACCAGACATTCAGAACTCCTGGACAAGTTACTTAACCTCTAAGCTTCAATTTCAACCTTTTTATTTTTTTTTAAATGATAAAGAAAAGTAGTATCTTGGAGGAAAGTAGTACCTTTCCTCAAAAGGAAGGGGGTTAAAGGAGATTTTCCAGATATGGTGAAGAACACATAAAAGCTCAACACTAATTATTATTAGTGCCAGAATTCCTATGTCTTCATGATTCTATCCTTCTTGACACATTACCTGACTAGCCTCTCAAGCACTGGGCCTCAGTTACCTCATCTTAAAGCTATACATTCATCTCTGAGGATACGGCTTTCTTGCTACTGCTGCTGCTGCTGCTGCTGCTTAGTCGCTTCAATCATGTCTGATTCTGTGCGACCCCATGGACTGCAGCCTGCAAGGCTCCTCTGTCCATGGGATTCTCTAGGCAAGAGTACTACAGTGGGTTGCCACACCCTCCTCCAGGGGATCTTCCCAACCCTGGGGTAGAACCAGAATCTCCTGCATTGCATGCAGATTCTTAACCACTGAGCCACCAGGGAAGCCCCATGGCTTTCTTAACTGCATGCACAAGATTTTGAGTCAAGCATCTAAAAAGACTTTATTATATTAATTTCAGCAACTCAAATACTAGACTCCAAAACATTAACATAAGGAAATTATAGGGAACCAACACCTCTAACATAATTTCATGAGAATGCACAAAACAGAGAATGGACCCGATAGTGATTCCTCTGAATAGATACGAAAAGCAAGATGAAAGGACAGACAACATGTTCTTGTGATTCTAAACATCATATCCAAATAAAAAGGCATGTCTATTACCTGGAACCAGTGATGTTCAGCCAATGAGTTATACTCCATTTTTAAAAAATCATTCCCCCCCAAAATAACACAACTTGGTAGCAATTTTATTAAAGCCTGTTTCTTAGCCTAGGTCATCACCTGCGGTGTAACATATACTTCATCTGAAGGTTCTTCTTTAACATACAATCTATGAGGGATTGGGGAACTTCCCTGTGCAGAAGACATGGGTTCAATCCCTGGGTCAGGAAGATACCCTGGAGAAGGAAATGGCAACCCACTCCAGTATCTTGCCTGGGAAATCCCATGGACAGAGGAGCTTGGCCGGCTACAGTCCAGGGGGTTGTAAGAGTCAGACAGACTTACTGACTGAGCACACACGCATAAGGGATTGGAGAATGGGAATTTTAGACAGACGAGTTCCTATTTTTGCCACTGAGGACCAGAAGGCATGGGACTAAAGATAATGGAAGAGAACTCAGAAAAACAGATTTTCTGGTCAGAAGCATTCTGTTAGTTGCAGTCAACAGTATGTAAGGAGCTACTGGAATTTGGATGAAATGTCCAAGGGCAGTTAAATTTAGTCTAACCCACACATAATGAGATTAAGTGTAGAGTATTAAAAAAAAAAAACACACAACAAAGTTGGAAAAGCAGGCTGAGAAATCCAATCAAGGTATAACTAAAAGTAAGAGAAAGCCTTAGTCTCATCAATAGAATTATCACATCAAAAGAAAAGCTACTAGAACAGCTTGGGGGAAATTCTCAGAGCAAGACTATGTCCACAGACAAAACCAGGGACAGAAAAGCAGAGAGGTTCAATTTAATTCATAGACATGTCCAGAATCTAAATTCATGACTAGGACAGAAATTTTACTCAACAAAACAGCCTTTCCCAAAAAAGCCTAAAGCCAAAGACAATAATCTGATTCTTGAGGGACACATGGTAATGGATCAAAATTTTACCACAGCAGGAAAAACTTTAAAACAACCGCAACAAGTCACAGTGAAAATAGAAACAAGGTAAAATGTGGTTTAATTCTGAGTAATAAATGGAGCTCAAGAAAAGAGGAATCCATTTGACCTTCCTAGGAATATTCTCCTTCAAACAGCCTAAGGGTGTTAATAGGACTTGCAGAGGAAGAAGAAAACACACACACACACACACAATCCTCACATCACTGGGGTCTACAAAAAAAAAGAACAAGCCATAGTCATGATGTAGCTTCTTGCTTTCCATTTTCAGACTCCAACTATACTCAAAAAATCCAGCAGATTAAATATAACATAAAATAGAATGTAAAAGTTATGAACCCTGGCAATGTAAAGGCAAAGGTCAGGCTGAGAGAGGTAAGGAGACAGGAGAAGGTAGAGAGGTTGGGGAATGGCTGGGAGCATAAATACTATCTTTACGCAGTGAGGGAACCAGAGCAAGAACAGAGATCTCAGTATCACAATGCAACTCAGAAACAGGGGAAAGGAAGGAAGCAGAGTGAGGTAAAATGCCCCAAGCTTGATAAATTAGGAAAAAGTAGTACAGGTGTATTTTCTAAAGTTATGGAGGTAATACTGTTTGATAATACTATAAACAAAATATTTAAAACTATAAACAGAAACAGTTAAAGTAACTGTCTCTAAACAGTGGGACTAGGTGCAGGTGAAGAGTGTGGCAAAAGGCCATTGATTTATTATAAAGCCTTCTATTTGAACTTTTATCATAGGAATGTATTACTTTGAAAAATGAACCTTAAAAACAAATAACCACAACATAGCCTTCCAAACTGATCATTTTGAAACATTAAAAATTAAACATGCTAGAGCAAACCATCACTAGAAAAATCAAGTGCCTTTCTCATGCTCAGATCAAGAGAGCAGCACAGTTCAAGTTTAGAAAAGTCTTACCTTGAGTAAGGCTAACTGCCTAATTTATGACTGGAATCACATAATATTTTTCATTCCAATGTGG